TGTTCCCTTTCACTCCCAGCGAATAGAGCAGCGGTTCTCAACCTGTGGGTCGCGACCCCTTTGGGGGTCGAATGACCCTTTCACAGGGGTCGCCGGGTACTCATATGTGGGCGTATCTGCGTGTGGGCCTGGAGACGGATAGAGGAGCGGTGTCTCCGTTCCTAAGACCATCGAAAATATGTGTTTTCCGATGGTCTTAGGCGACCCCTGTGAAAGGTTGAGAACCGCTGGAATAGAGGCTAAGGCCATCCTGGGGTGGGGGTGGGGTTGCAGGGTAGAAATGGGTGGCAAATCCCTTGATAGTTTTCAGAGGAAACATTGCAGAAAAGTTTCTTTTAACCAACGGGACAGGAGAGAGACATTTCTGCGCGGCTCCCCTCCTCTCCCTGAGTCCCGCTTGGGTGGTTCCAGCAGCCTGAATACCCCTGGGCCAGAGTCTGGGGAGCTCCCCCACGGCTTCCTTCATCCAGCCATCACCCCACGAAGATTCTTTCGGCAGGCAGGACACCACTCAACCCAGAACCGCTCTGGGCGGGGCGGGGGATGTAGATGCCCTTCCTAGATGGTCTCAGCCATGCCCGTTCTCCAAGTGCAGATGAGGAGGGCAGGGAGGGAGCCAGTGGCAGAAGCCACTCAGTCCTCAGTGCGCCTGCCGAGGGGCCTGGGGGCACCTTCCTTTTGCAGCCTCTTGAAAGGGCCAGGCAGCCCTTCTGTCTCCACCAACTGCCGCAAGGCAGGTTTTAGCCAGATCCAGCGGTGAGGCTGCGCGGCGCTGACTGCCTTCTCAGGGCAGCTGGATCGGCACAGGCTCTGCGCTGCAGGCACTTGTCACCACGCACTCGCTCGCCCACGCCCACGCCCTTCCTGCAGTGAGCGGCTGATTGCAACCTGATCATCGGGCCCTCCAGAGTCCCGTGCCGGGCCCACCACTTCCTCCCGTCTCCGGCCCCAAGGGGAGAAGCTCCCAGGCAAAGACCAGTCTCGGCTGCTGCTTCCCTGCGAGGGAGCCAACAAAATGCAGTCCTTTCAGCCCCAGGAGACTGGCTGCTGAGCCTCCCGCTGCCTGGGGCCAGGGCTGGAGGCGGCCCAGAGACCACACAGAATACCTGCTGACAAGTAACCACATAGGATTCTCCCAGCCCACCTGGGACACTGATCTCAGCATCTGATCAATCCTCTGGGAACCTCAGCCTCCTTATCTGCTTAAATAAAACGACCAACCATAGGGCTGCTTTGAGGAATGAATCAGGTTATGGATGTAACAGACCCAACAGAGCAAATACTCTACCCTCCCACCCGGCTTTCGCCTTCCCATTCCCTCCAGAACCCTGGAATTTGTGTCCAGGGTTAAAAGCTAGTTGGGTCAGAGGCCAGGATCCTGCCTGAGCACACCCACGCTCCCGGAGGCCACATGAGAATGGGGACTTTCCCTGGTGTCCTGGGAGTGTGACATCACCATGATGACGACAGGGGAGAGCATAGAAATAACTGTAATGACAGTGCTGTCACACGTCCTTGGTCAGCTGCAAGTTGGCTCATTTTAAGAAAACCACCTTTTAGGTAGTGCTGGCTACAAAGGTGCTGCCTCATTTATCCTGCCTTCCTACACCAGACCCATGCCCAGCTGTGACACTAAAAAGCAGCCCAGCCTGACATGGGGCTGTTCCCAGGCTAGAGAAGTCTATTGTAATTCAGGAATAGGCACCCCTGGGAAGGCACCATTAGTCTGTGTTCCACTCTAATAAACAAACATCAAAGTCCTTTCCCTGTTGACCCCCAGATGCAGGGGCCATCATATCTAAGAACGGATTCCAGCAGCACAAAACAGACAGGGGCCTCAAATAGGGTTTCCTTCCAAAGAGAACACGGGAAGCGGGGAGGAGACAGTTGGAGGGGAGGCGACAGTTGGAGACGAGGCACCTCTGAGCAGAGCATGTGGACGGAGCCATACATAAGTGAAGATTTAAACAAACAGAATGCATCACTATGGAAACATTCAGCTTTTTCGAAGGTCTTGTGAAGAAAACTAATCAAGAACTCAGATTCAACACGACAAGTGTTTATGACCAGAAAAGGCAAAGTGGCCTCAGATATTCTGCAGGCAAGGAGGAGCTGCCAGAACTCAAGGAAGAAATCTTCCCAGCAGGGCAGGGGCCCATCATGCGTGGGGGCTTTCTCTCGGCCTTTCAGCAGGAGAGCCACTTACTGACCAGGGCCAGACAGACTGGCCCCACACGAGGGAAGGGTCACATCAGCCATGGAAGCAGCGAGGAGTAACTGCCACAAGGGCAGGTTTACGAGCTGTGACCCAAACTTGTTAGGAATCACCAGTGCCTCCTGAGCTAGAGGTCCAGCCAACAACAATTCCAATGCTGGGGATGAATCCGATGCTAGGCGCACGCTGTTCCGACCTGCGCTTTGAGGCAAGTTGCCTGCGTGCAACCTGAGCCGTCTCCTGGGGCTGTCTGCTGACTGGGGCTGTGGCGTGGTTAAGCATAGTGGAGAAGCCTGATGCTGAGTTTGGGCATCACTCAGAGTCCTCGAGTGCACTCACAGACAAGAAGGGAGGAAGGGGCCACTTAGCCAGCTCTGAAAGTTTCTTAGATATGGCCAGGAAACACTGTTCTGAGTTCTGAAAGTTTCTTAGATATGGCCAGGAAACACTGTTCTGAGTTAACTTGCCAGGAAGGTCAGATGAGAATTTGTCTAACTTGCCAGAAACTGGATTCCGTCCCACCAAAATGAACTTCCCCAGCTAAATGGCCAATGACTAGTCCATTTGGCAGAATGGTTTCTGACTAGGAGATGCTAATGTTGAATTAGGAGATGAGATGCGGACACCTGGCCTGAGGCACTGGAAAGCCAGGGAACAAACATGGTGGCCTGGAAGTCAGCCTGCCCGTGGGCACCAGGGTGGCTGAGTCAGCAGCCCTGCAGGACCAAGCCCGAGAGGCTCATTCTGCAGTATGGCAGAGGAAAAAGCACAGTGTAGGGATTGGCCTGTGCTTTGAATTCTGGTTCTGCCATTTATAAGTCCCGTTAAATTACCCAACCTCTTGGAGACTCAGGTTCCTGGTCTCTACAGTAGGAACAGAATTTTTCCTGCAGGGCTGTGGAGAGGATTAGGAACTGTGCATACAAAGCTCCCAGGACATTGCCTGGTAGGTTATTAAAGCTCACAAACAGGGCAGCTAAAAAACTAAATCTGGTTGTTGTTTTTTCATCCTTACAGCCATCATATTTGCCTCCCCTACTTTACAACGTTAGCAAAAAAAACAGGGTCACCCGTAATTCCCAGTTAGCACCTATGCAGGCTGGTGCAGTCCCTGAGCATGGCCGCCCTCCGCCAGGGTCAGGAATTCCTGTCCAGTCCCAAACCCTAAACTGTGTGACTCCATAGGCGAGTATCCACTTCGTACTTCAGAAGCGACATTACCTTCGTGGTGGGAAAATGGCAGTCCTGGCATTAGACAGCAAGAAACAAAACCCAAGATGGCTCTCTCAGAAGAAACCCAGGTGGTGGCCCAAGCTGTCTGCTGTCATGTGGGCATTTGTTTCCCTGACAGACATGGCAGTGATGAGTGAAGAGATCAAATCTGCAGCTGACGCAAGGGGAGAGCATGACCCCACATGAGGAGGGATGCTGGAAGGCTGGCAACCATCTGCCATGTGTGGGAATGCAAGAGGAATTTCCCAGTGTCGTGTATCAAAGTCCTAACCAAACTGGCTGTGCCACCCTGGCCAGGTGCTGGTTGTTTTCATAGGAGAAAAGCTAGGAATTAAATAGAGGTTTTATTTTATTTTTATGGTGATGTGTCCCTCCATCACAGGGAGGCCTGGTATGATGCTCCGATTTTATGAAGCATTTAGGAGTTCTTAGAAAGGAGCTGTACATGTGCAACGTGCAACAACATTAAAAAAAAAAGGTGGAGGGACTTCAATGCAAGAAGCCAGGGAGGCTGTCAGAGAGCAGAGCCCAGCCAGGCAATGGCGTTCCATCCGAGTTCTGGGGAAGAGCCTGCCTGGCCGTTGGCACTTGGCCATGAACATGGGATCATCAGTCTTCCTGCACGGAATGGAAACACGATCAAAAGCAAGAAGGCTCTGTACATTTTCCCCACAGCCAGCCAGGGAAACTCTAACTCTCTTGCCCTGTTTTCATCCATTTTCTTTCGCTCAGGTTTTCCATATCTTGGTCTGAAACTAATCTGGCACGCTGCTCCTATGTCACGGGGTCAAGAAGACACGTGCTTTTATGATGCAGTAAGGGGCAGCCACTCTGTTCTGTTTTGGGAACCTCAGTGACAACATGGACTAACCTTTGACTCTTGAGCAGACTGAGTCAGAAGAAAGCCTTAGTCATAGGGCTACTGAAATCGAACGTGAAGAGAACTATTAGGTAACTGAGTCTACTCCCTACAGGACTGCTCCGGTTTCTGTCTGGCTTGGGGTTCAATGACTCAAGTCATTCTCTAGGGGAAACCAATCTACGTGTAACAGCTGTCGCTAAAAGGGCATTGCTGCTCTTGAGCCAAAATTTCTCATGACATCACTCAAGTACCCCTCCCTTTGAGGGGACAGTTTTCTCTTGCATCACAAGTAGTCCAGGTAGCAGCTTGAAGATGGCTGGCCTAGAGGACACTACCCTCACTCTCTATTCAGAGGCCTGTAACCTGTCCATGTCCTGGAAAGACTGACAGGCCAGGAGGTCCAGTTAACTAATGTGCTCCCAGAATATTCGGCTTTCCATCACAACAGCACACAGCCAAGATGTTCAGGAGTCGGGACAGGCTTCAACAGAGCTCTGTAAAATCACCTCTGTTTGGGTTTCAGCAGCTGTCTGCCTACGGAAGGCTCCAGAGTCACTGACGCAGATTTAGATCTCCACGAAAGTCACAAGGAACAAACACGTGCGGATTTACCCCGGAGGCAAAGTCCATTCCTATTTCTTCAAATAAGGCGGGGGACGGCAGGAGAAAAACTGCTTATGGACATCATCATCCGTGAACATAGCCATGGTGGTTTTTAATTCGCCTAAAGAAAATATGTGCTTTCAAGATGTGATTAGGGATTACTGTTCCCACAGTAAACATATTATGAATATGAGCTGCTGTTTGTCACTTAGCAGGACTAGGAAGCCAATCCCACCCTCATCTCCCAAACGGCCACCAGCTGGACCAGCCTCTCCAAGTTTCTCCACGGTGGAAGGTCTGCTCAGTGTCAGCACAGCTTCTCTCTCAAAGATTCCGCATCACCAGCGTGCCCCTTTAGGGTCTGGATTCACTGTCCGAAAGGTCAGGTTTATTCTCGGTCCTCTCGAGTGGTACTCTTTGGGCACTCGATGCTAAATGGAAACAGAAGTAATCCTGACATAAACACACACACACACATTTTTATTTCAAAGCAATTTAAAACTTATTTATGAGTACACAGATGTATTTTGATTTTATCCCCCCTTAAATAGGCTCGTTAGAGTCTTGTGGAGAAAGGTCTCCTTCTCTGAAACAAACCCACCCCCACGCTATGAGCTGCCAGGACCCTCACAGAGGGCTTCATCTTTTCTGATGGTTGCTTTTCCTCTCAGCCTCCTGCCATTTTTCCAAATCTCGTAAGAAAACACATAAATGGCCAAGACCAAAGAAAGATCCTGCTCTCATGCTAAGTTGTCTCACATTAATTTACACATCTTAAAAATGACCTGGCGTTAAAATGGCCTGGCCGAAGCTGTGGAGCTCTGGAGCTCAGTATGCCAGCCACTGGCTACCTGAGCCAGTTAAATTCATTAAAATCCAGGTCTTCAGCACACTAGCCACATTTCAAGGGGCCAACAGTCAAGCTGTCCAGTGGTTCCTACACTGGGCCGCACAGATGCAGAACATGTCATCATGGCAGAAAGTTCTATGGGACACTGCTGCTGGGAGGTCCTCTGTGACAGCCACGGTATCGAAACTCCTTGGCAAGAATGTCATTTGATCGCCTCTTGCTCTGTATAAAAGCAACTTGCTTTGCAGCACGTTTACTACAGAAGCTGATCCCCGTGCGCAGTCCACAAGTTGCCTCCACAAGAGAGGGAAGCCATCTCACTCGCCTGCTCTCACCTGCCAATCAGCTTGTGTGGCTCCTTCCATGATTAACAAGGTGCCGTGATCCAAGGGGATCTTCACTCTTTCCATGTACGTGTAGTCTCCATTCTCCTCCTAGAAAACAGCATTCACAGCACTGAATTTTTCTGCTTGTGTGATCAAGATGCAACAGAACGTGACTCTGGTCAAACAAATGGAGACCTCTCCTCAGCCAGGCTGCAGGGTCATGGGCTGGCTCGGTCACTCAGCAGATGTTTGGCCTGAGGCAAGTTATTTCACTTCTTGGTACCTCAATTTACTCCTCTGTTAAATGAGGGTGATGACAGCACCTGCCACATAGGGCTGTTGTGAGCTTCAAATGAAACAGTGTGTGGAAATCACTGGGAGACTAGCACATAAGTGCTATTATTATCATTATTATTATCAGCCTCCAAAATGCAGAAAAGCCCATTCTGGCCTATGAAGGAATTAAAATCCATTTATCTAAGAACTTACGTCTGCTTTATGCTGTGCTCTGTGTTTTGACAGACTGGGGGAAAATGGGCTTTTAAACAAGACATGGTCTGATGAGTTCTGATCACCTTTCGCAATTTATGCTAATTCACTCATCGACACCTATGTTAAAACTAGGTAGTCTCTCCCTGTAGTCCTTTGGTGTTTTGGAGACACTGTCCTGTTTCTTTCCAGAACAGTCAACAGTAAGATTTTCTCAGAGAAGTGAGCTCTGGCTTGATCCGATCAGTACTGCACAGAGACCTAGCGCGTAAGCCTTGGAGAACAGATCGCAGCTCCTGAATACTCAGGATGCAAACGCCTGTGATTTTGCACCGTCCCTTTCTTCCAGGGAGCTCAAAGTCAGTTCATGCCTAATATTGTAAAGAAACTTCCCAGCACAGCCCGTGAAGGCCAACAGGTGGTGTTCCTCTTCCTTCAAGGCTGACAAGGGGGCGCATTAAACAACTTCCTTGCTCACTGCAACAGAGAGTGTGCCAAGCTTCCTGATTTCTTCACCTCCGCTCTGGGCAGACTCGTCCATTTATCTGCTTTACTTCCGATGCAAGGGGTTACATTTGGGTTACTGCAGGAGGGATTTCACTGCAATACTGTGTTTATGTTTATTATTGCAGGGGAGCTTCTGAGGACATAACTGTTTACAATGCTACCCGCCTCCCCAGGAAAATCCAAATCCAAATAATGAACTTGCGTAAACAGTCTAAGTTCTAGGCCCCAGCCCTTGGCAGTGACTTTGTCAAGCAGTCATAGTTTTTACAGGCAGAAGGTAAGAAGTAATGTTTGAAATAACTTTTGGTTTCGGAGACTGATTTTCATTGTGTCTGCCACCTTTTCTCTTCCAGTAGTATGCACGCCCGAAAGCATTCATTTCTGACCCCTCAGCCAACCAGGGAGCAGTGGGAAGGTGGCTCTGTCCTCTGGTGGCCCAGCTCCATCTCAGAAAAGCAAAAGGTTACTCTCTGAAATAAGGATTCCAGGCAGAGGAGATGTATGCTACACTGGAGAAAAGACATCAGAAGGGAGTGCACTGTCCGTGAGATTAGAGGGTCCAAGCCTCCTTGAATTAGGCTGGAAAGGCAGTTACCAGATCACGGTTCGCAGAGCTAGAGGCAGAACTTCTGCTGCCCTCCACACAACAGGGGGCGCTTAATCTATCAAGCACAGACACTAGGACAGGAGAGTGGAATGAAGGAGAGAGGAGAGACACTGAACCACAACGTGAAGACAATCCAGAGACGAAGATCTCGTAGAACATGAAAAACATTACTGGGGAGGTCAATGGAAGAGAAGAGGTGAGTACTGTAATTCTACCTGGAAACATGAAGCAGGGATAGACCTAGCAAGTGAAAGCGAATCCCAAGTGCAAGAGGGAAATACCAGCATTGATGGCAAGTGAGGTTCAAAAGGTCCACATTTCACTTCATGTCCCTAAGATCTGAATTTTTCCAATGAGAGAAAGCCTCAGGTTGGTTTAAACACAGTACATCCAATATAACCATTAGTTACACCAAAAAGTAGAAGAGAGTGAGCCTTCCCTTGGAAGGGAGCTACTCTCATCAGTCCCCAAAAGGAAACACCAGTACACGGTGCAGCCGCTGTGAAAGGCGATGCCATTACTTAGCTGTTTGTTATTTGTTCCTTTCAACACCCTGGGCCTAGAAAATGCATTCCGAATTTGCAGGCGATAGATACAAAGGAGGCCGAGGGATTCTATCGAGGCAACACAGAGCTCACCAAACGCTTCCTTCTCCTGAGGCCAGAGAGGCAACACATCGCAGTCCGTCCTCCCCTCCCCCCTTCACCGAGATGCATGGAAACGTTTTCCACTTAGTCCCACAGAGCTCACGTGGCTGTGCATCAAGGCTCAAGTGATAAATGAATCAGCAACAGTGGAAGCCCAAGTCAGGCTGTTTGGAGGAATGCATTCCCGGTCATTAAGCACCGTTAAGTTACCCAGGCACGGCTCTGGAACCCTCATGGTTTCCAAAGGTCTTCCTTCAAAACAAAACAAGTCAAAACAAAACACACACCCCAAAACACTATGGCTCAGGATAAAATCTTCCATCCCTGATGGGAGAGGCTAGGTCCACAATCAATCTACAGGGTGGGTTTCATTGTTGTTGTTTTTGGGTTTTCTACACATTTGAAACCTCACAAATAGATGCAAAAAGTATGCATTTTTATATTAGGGCTGATCAACATTCTCCCTCCCGCCCAACCACAGCCAGTTTGCTTGAATGCTTCATTATAACTTCCAAGGAATGGTAGGGATTCCCAAAGTTCCACAGTTCTTATGTCCATCTCACCGAGACAGGAGTTTATTCTGTGTTCTTGAGAAAAATGCTACTTGGGAAAAAAAGCCTGGGTGTACTTGCTGTTATGTCATTACTAACCACCCAACTGAAAGGAAATCTAAACATTTTTCTTTTCACTGGAAAGGTAACTTCACACTGTATGAGATCTATGTAGACTTTTCACATAATTCCTCCTTTCTTGTCCTAAAAAGGTATCTTAGAAATTACAAACAACCATCAATGCTTGAAAATCCTCATTGGCATAGTTTTTCTTTCTACTATAAAAGTAACATAAGTTTACTAAAGTAAATGACGCACTTGTAATTACTTGTTCAATGTCTGCCTTCCCACTCTGATAAATATGGTAGTACCCATCTTCTGGCCACATTACCAATACTGAACATTATCAACTGACAATGATGAGGGGAGGACTACGTGGTATGACAAGTTCGCAAACTCATCCTAGAAAAAGGGCTACATGCCTCAATGCTGAATATCACTATGGTCACCTTTGAAGTACTCCCGCTGGGAAGCTATGCACCAATGTCAGTGACTAGTGCACCTTTCAAAGCAATTTGGAATTCTTTTTCTGGAATGGTTATCAGTGCTGTCTTCTTATTACCCTTGATGTCCTGCATGTCATCAAAATGTCTTCCTTTCAATATTTCCTTCATCTTTGGGTAAAGAAAGAAGTCACTGGGGATCAAATCAGGTGAGTCAGGAGGGTGTTCCAATACAATTATTTGTTTACTGGCTAAAAACTCCCTCAGACAGTGCCATGTGAGCTGGTGCATTTTTGTGATGCAAGAGCCATGAATTTTTGGTGAAAAGTTCAGGTCGTTTTTCATCTACCTTTTTCACGCAGCCTTTTCAGCACTTCCAAATAGTAAACTTGGTTAACTGTTAGTCTAGCTGGTACAAATTCATAACGAATAATCCCTCTGATATCAAAAAAGGTTAGCAACATCATTTTGATTCTTGATTTGGACTGACAGAACTTTTTTGGTTGTGGAGAATTGGCTGACTTCAATTGTGCACTTTGACACTTTGTCTCAGGGTCGTATTGGTACATCCATGTTTCATCACCAGGGATAACATGGCCCAAAACATCATCTTGCCTCACCAAAAGGTCTTGGAAATCTTCGACTCTCCTTTGCTTTTGTTCATTAGTGAGCTCCTTCAGGACCATTTTTACACACGCCTTTCTCAGGCCAAGATTTTCAGTTAAGATTTTCCTGCTTCTCTATTGATGTTAATTTGGTCTGCTATGCTTCTCACAGTCAGCCGACAATTTTGACACATTTTTCAACAGATTTTTGCAATGTTTTCATCAGTTCTGCTTGTTACTGACTGCCCTGACTTCTCTTCATCAGTGACACATTCTCTCCCCTCAGAAAAATGTTTAATCCATTTGTACACTGCTGTTTTCTTCATGGTGTTATCCCCATAAACTTGGAGAAACATGTCCCTGATTTCATGTCCACTCTTGCCAAGTTTAACAAGAAATTTAATGTCTGTTTGTCGCGCTAATTCAAGCTCAGACATTCTCGCAACGGCACACAAAAACACGCAACAACAGTAATGAATGCCACTCAGCAAGACACCACCACACGTCGACATGAACACAGCTGTGAGACACTGATGTACCAGGTTATGGAACCTTACCAAGCTGTTTGTACAGTGCTGCCAATGCGAGGGCACGGTAGCAAGTTCGCGAACTTAATTGTCACACCGCGTATGTTGTCTCACCCTTTCAAAATATGCTCAGTGCCTATTATCACACATATCAATAAATATGAGCTGAATGACTGAGGGTAAGCACCAAAAAAACAGAAAACCCTCTTTTAAACCAATCATCCAGAATTCATACAACACACACACAGGAAATATTCTATATATACAACCACGTACTCTACACGTTAACATTCTTTTGTGAGTGTTTTTTTGTCTTAAAAATTTCTACGCCTTTGAAAAATAAAGCTACATGATATTCCTTTGTATGAACATATCCTTCCTCCTTTAAACTCGAAACCCTTTCTGGCCACCTGTTTGTGTTAGGCACTGTGTTAATGTTAAGGCTATAGCAGTGAGGTAGGCATGGTGGGAGACTGAGGTTTTAATGTACCAGTACTACTAAAAAAAAAAAAAAAGAAAGAAAGGAGAAACAAAGAAAAAACTACTGCAAGCAGATCTTGGGCAAAACACCTGAGTTTACTTCTAGGATATATTCCTAAATATGACTGGATCCAAGGGTATGAACTTTAGGGCACTTTGAGTTACACTACCAAACTCCCTTAAGACGGTTGT